CCTGTTCAATCGCAAGCTCCATGGGACTATCAACTGGTTCTTCCTGAGTCTGCTCATTGCTGATCTCTTGGCTGGGGGAGCTCTTCCCTATGTCTCCAAGATGCCATTTGAGAAGGATGGTCTCAGCTACGGTCAGTGCTTAGCACATTATGCTGTGCCCAATTTCCTTTTCCTGTCTTTTTTAGCCAATCTGCTGGTGATGCACTATGCTAAATATATATGCATCATCCAGCCACTGCATTACCACCAGGCCTGGGTTTATCGCTGGGCTGGTCTTTACATATGCTTAGCATGGATGTCTCCCTTGACTTTTGCATCCATGCCATTGGCTTGGTACCAAAAGAAGCCCAATGAGAGCTGCTCTACTGAAAAAGTCTTAAACCAGCCTTACCTCTATGTAGAAACCTATGTGTTCATCATCCCAATCATCTTTGCAATAGCTGTAATGGGTATCCAAATGCTCTGCATAGCCCGAAAACAGCTTAAAAACATTAAAAAACTGCTTAATTCAGTGAATCAAAGTCAGATCCCATCGGAATTGGAACAACAACTAGAACTGAGGCATGCAAAGAGTATCGCCAGTGTATCTCTCATCTTCCTGGTCTGCTGGGTGCCATATATTGTTTGTTTGAATATCTCACTGTATTTAGAAATAAAGCGGAGTACCACCCTTGCTATTTTTATCTGCATAGGTACTGCCAGTGCTGCTGTAATACCTATCATCCTCAGTCTTGGCAATCGTCAATACACCAAATTTTGGAGTGACATGGCCATGAAAGCCTATAAAACCTGCTGCCGAAGTCAGGGGTGCAAACAACATAATAACCATCCCTGTGGCAATAACACAGAAACTCCTACAATTCCAGACTGATACTTTCCAGTGGGAAGTCATCAAATCCCTCATCCATCCATTTAGCAGCACAAATGCTTCAATCTTTTCCCTTCAGCTTGGAATGAAATAGGAATGTTTGCTTCCAGTCATGGTTTCCCATAACCCAGGTCAGCATTCTACTGTTTGTTGGGGATCTAATGCCATTCAAAAGTTCAGCTAAATATAAAATGGATGAAGAAAGAGAAAGGACATTCCTTTTTCTCTTCCTTGCTGGCAGTCCTGAGAACACAAAAGAAGATTGGAATGCCTTGAAAACACATTGACTTCAATTTGCTATCAAAAAATGGAGAAGTTGAAAAACAATGAACACAGTTGGGAATAGATTCTCCCACACAGCTCTATTGAAATCCCCTCCTCCTGAATCCCTGCCTTCTAGACCTGCTGCTTACCCCTCTTTCTCCTGATATGGAAGGAAGTCCCTGGTTCTGCATTATAAGAATGTCAGAATAGAAGATAACACCTGGATTTCAGCAGCCTCAGTTACAACGGTTGTTCCTTAAAATTCCTTGCAGTTCAATTGAAGGATATTGGGAAGCTATTGGGACATTTGTATATCAAGTAGGCTGGGTTTACGATGAATCATAGGTGTATATGAATATGTGAAATGGGATCACAAGCAGATTATTCCAAAACCAAACACTGACCGCATTCTAAAATCAAATGCATACAATGTAAGATCATCTCTGTTGAAAAGATCTAGATTTATTCAGTATGAAGGAATGCAAAGTACATAAGTAAATCTTCCATTTCCCATTAATCTTGTCTTGGCTGTCCCTCACAACAACCCCGAGATAGACAGGGCCCAATTATTCACATGTTTATAGATGAGGAAAACTACACTGAGGCAGACTCCCATTTTCCTGGTATTCTCAACATCGTCAATGGCTCCCTCTGTAGCAAAGATTGAATTGCTTAGGTCTATAGTTGATACTGGAGACTGTAAGGAGCAAAACAGGTGAGGAAGCTGCGAATGCTGTTTCAGCCAATCTGAACTCTTGGACCAAACCTGAGCAGGAAACTCCCAACTCAAGGCTGGGAACAGAATGGAGAAATGTTCACTGGGTGAAAACACTAAGATAAAAAGCTTAAGAATTATAAAGCTAATATTGTATGCTAGGCTCCTTTGATGTGTCCTGTCATAATTAACTCTTCAGTGTAAATACCAGCTCTTGTTTGCAATAAAAGAACTTTTTAAAGCTGTCTTAAGTCAATGAAGCTTCCACTAACTACTGAATGGAACGGAGGGTTAAATTTCTATGAAACAAGGGTTATAGCTGTACTTTGTATGAACCTTGATGATAAAATGCTGCCAATAGAGGCAAGAAATAATTAAGGATTGATGACTTGGTGTCAAATTTCATTAAGGTGAAATTGGGCTGCTTTTTTTTAAGTCTGCTGGTTTACTTACACACTCCATTTAATCTTTTTCTGAGAAGAAGCAGATGCCTTGAGGTCAGAAGCAAACTGGTTTGCCATTTATGCTTATTAATATTTGGGACCCAAAGGCATAAATGTCCCAATTAAAGAGGTAATATAGTTATCATGACCTTAATTGGTCTAATTCCCTTTAAAACAATTGAGGTTGGGAGCCATTATGACTTCTTATCCTGCAATCTTCCAGATTAGGAATTCCCACTTTCCATCTTTAATGATAAAACATCAAACCAATTTCCTATTTCCTTCATTGTTGCTTAGGGCAGTTTGGGGTTAGCAAACTCAGGCCTGGCTGTTGGGCCTCCGATCACATCTAATAAAAACTAAACGTTTCACATCTTTTTTTTTTTTTTTTTGAAAAGGCAGCGTTGTTTGAGGCAAAGTTTAAGCAGAGGAAGGCTTCTGTATTTTCTCCCTTGTCTGTTTTTAATTATGAGCTCTGCAACTCATTTCTTCTTTAGGTCCTGTTATATTAATCCAAACTCTGTTCATAGACTTAAATTAATTTGGAAAGATTTAAAATTCTTTTGGTGCCTACTGAGACATATTCTATTTTCCAAGAGAAAAGGGGTAACTTCTAGCACCATGCTTTCAGACCATATACAGGTGAAACTCGAAAAATTAGAATATGGTGCAAAAGTTCATTTATTTCAATAATGCAACTTAAAAGGTGAATCTAATATGTGAGATAGACTCATTACATACAAAGCAAGATAGTTCAAGCTGTGATGTGTCATAATTGAGATGATTATGGCTTACAGCTCATGAAAACCCCAAATCCACAATCTCAGAAAATTAGAATATTACAGTCTGAAAGAAGAATGGAGAGGCACACACTGCAAGATGCTTGAAGTCCAGTGTGAAGTTTCCAGTCTCTGTTGATTTGGGGAGCCGTGTCATCTGCTGGTGTTGATCCACTGTGTTTCATTAAGTCCAGGGTCAACGCAGCAGTCTACCAGGAGATTTTGGAGCACTTCATGCTTCCTTCCATATACGAGCTTTATGGGGATGCTGACTTCATTTTCCAGCAGGACTTGGCACCTGCCCACACTGCCAAAACCTGGTTCAATGACTGTGGGATTACTGTGTTGATTGGCCAGCAAACTCGCCTGACCTGAACCCCATAATCTATGGGGCATTGCCAAGAGAAAGATAAAAGACACAGACCAAACAATGCAGAACAGCTGAAGGGCACTATTGAAGCAGCCTGGTCTTCCATAACACCTCAGTGGTGCCACAGGCTGATAGCTTCCATGCCCTGCCGCATTGAGGCAATAATTGCTGCAAAAGGGGCCCAAAACAAGTATTGAGTACATATGCATGCTTATACTTTTCAGAGGTCTGATATTGTTCTATGTACAATCCTTGTTTTATTGATTGCATGTAATATTCTAATTTTCTGAGATTGTGGATTTGGGGTTTTCATGAGCTGTAAGCCATAATCATCACAATTATGACAAATCATGGCTTGAACTATCTTGCAAGAGGGGTTGACAAAAAACACTCTATAGATTGACCATAAATGTCTACTGTATAGACTAACAGGTTGTAGATTTGTCACTCAACTAAGGCACTTTGCAAGTGAACTCATTAATGGGTTCAAGGAAGGCAACATGAAATTTAGCTTAAGCAATGGTTAGAGGTGTCTGGAGAAGAATCTGTGGAAGTGCAAAGTTTATCATTAGCACAATAAAAACATACTGGGGGGTAGTCAATGTATATGATAATGAAGTAAGATTAATTAATTAATAGAGTATTATGGGATGTCTTTACTTTGTGCACATGCGTGGCTGTCACGTAACTAACTGGCAATTCTCTTTTTGTATTGTATAAAAATAACTGAGCCTGATTTCTGATGTGCTCCTTGGGTGTGAAACTCAGAAGTGTCCTCTTCTACTTCTGAACAGAAATAGAAGATTTTTGTCTTTTCTTGATCTTGTATGGACATTGGCTTCTTCACATTGGGTTCTTGTATCTAGCCAGCCTTCTGGTGAACATTACAGCAATATAGCAGAGTGGTACAGCTAACGTAGGTAACTTCAGAATCTGGAATGATCTGGGCTGAATGGTCTTATGTTCTCCACAATACATAATCAACCACTGTCCCAGACTATATCTAATTAACTTAGAGGACAGTTCGGTAGCAAACCCTGATCACTGACAGATGTTTCACTCTTAGCTTTTGGTTTTCTAGCTGAGTAGGCTCTTAAATATCAATTATATCTTGTAGGGGTTTCTTACACGCCACCACCTCCCACCCGAAGCACATTGTAGAATTGCTTTTATATTCTTAGACTTTTTACCTTCTCTTTCGGACTGGAATTAAATTTCTCTGAAAACACAGAAAACACAGTTCTTGGCAAATTTGAGTTTACATTACTTAGCAACAAGCAGCTCTCTAGAAAGTGGGGAACATTTGTGTGATACCCCTTCCATTGTTCAGTATCTGTACCGAACCACCTTGAAAGATTTTCACGCAAAATGAATGGCTACATGGTTCCTCTCTTTACTGTCATATTTCTGGTATGAGGCAATGCAACACTGTTATGTTTTTTCCCTCTTGCCCATTCCAGGACAATAGGCTGGTCCTTGGTTACCATACGGACGAGATATCTAGCAGCCATGGTTTAGCAAGCCACAGATTCAAACAAGCCCTCCAAGATGACAGCCTTCTTTTTGTCATAACGTCTAGTGATGTAAAAACGTGCTGTCTTGTTATTGTCACTGAGAGATCCACATATTCAAGTCCAGGATGATCTGCTCAGTCTCCACCAGAGTTCCAAAGCCTGTGCATCATCTCAGGAACATCATTTGATTAGCTTTGAACAAATCCACATGATTTGCTGGAAGGGGAAGCACAAGCTCAAGATGACCAAGGGAAGGATGAGCCTTATTGTCATTTCAGAGGCTGAGTAATAGTCCATTTGCCCCATCTTAAGAGGAGGAACATAGAAGGTGATACCCCTGACCTCCATGAACACGTCTTCAGAAATTATGTGCAATGGGGCCTCTTTGAACCCGGGAGAAGTACCTACCACTGCCCAGATCCTGAATCAGGCTCCACCCACTTGGGTTTTCTCATGGCTTTATGTATGAAGCACCAAGGATGTAAATACTTAAAGCCTCTTATAGAAAACGCCAACAATCAATTGGTGATAGGGTGGCAAAGCTTTCTTTTCAAAATAAAGGGGATCATAAAATGTTTAGTTGTCTCCCTGCAGGATGTTTTTAGGCTAACCCCATCCGCCCTGCGATAGTTTCTTGGGTGTATCTGCCGTCAGTCACATGGCACACTTCCTTGCAGTGCCCAGTCACCTAAATGCTAGCGGTCAGGTTGCTGCACACAAAACACCTTGGCCTGGCGATCACTAGAAGTAGTAACCACAAGGGAAGCATCTCTGCAATGGGGGAGGGGGAGGAGGAGGGGGAGAGAGGGAGAGGATTAAAATATGCATACACTCATACACTGTATACCTTAATATGTATATTTAAACCAAAAAAAAAATGAGAGGCAAAAAATATTAGGATACTGCAAATAAAACATGAAGATATCCTAAGAGGAAGGCAATCATTTCTGCTGAAACTCCAGCTAGTTTAGGGGGTTCCTCAATTATCAGCTATCAGCAACTCTTTATCAAATTATGCAATGTACTTTCATCCCAGTGGGTATTATAAACAACACTGTTTTTTTAAACAATTAGCTTATTGTTCTTCTCCTTCATCCCATTTCCCTTTCCTTGCACAACCTATCTTTTTTATTATAAATCTAAAGGCAAGCAGTATTTTAGTGGCAATATTTCTAAGCCAGGAGACTCTTTGGCTAAAGGATGAGGCAAAAGGCTTGGAATGAGTATGTTTCAAAAATCAATACTTAGATGCAGGAATGTAGCAGCAGTCCAGGAGAAAAAACAGGAAAAATTCCTCTGCTAAGATTCATCAAAAACAATAGAGAGAAGTCCTTTAAAATATTAACCAATAATCACCGTCATTTATGATCTCGATCCTGTCTATGCTTATCCATCCAATGGAACTCAGCAGGGCTTATTCCCAAGTAGGTGTGCAGTTAATCTGTACCACACCAATGTGGGTTAAAAAAAGAATCATATAATAGAAGTAACAAGCTGAAAGTCAAAAAGACAAAGAGCTTGGGAAACCCCACGCTAAGCCCATGGTTCTGAAAAATCATCCATTTTATTTTCTTGTTCCTGCCTTTACTGAGAGCCTGTGTAGTGCAGTCATTAAGATGTTGGGCTGACATTACAGAGACCTGGAATCTAGTGCATCTTCAGTCACATATATGCTTTGGCTGACTTTGGCCAATCATTCTCTCTCAGCTGAGCATGTCATAGGATTGTTATTATGGGGGGAAAATGGGAGGATGGAAAACCGTACTGTATATACTGCCAGGGCCACCTTAGGAAAATATGGGATATAATTCTAACACGAAAATAAACGATGAGAATCACCGAGGGAATTGGAAAGAAGAAAACTATTTTACCTAGGCAAAGAATCACTCCAGAAACAGCGTATCTCTTCTTCCCAATTCCTGAATATCTCAGCCTGCTCCACGTTTCAGTTCGAGCCCATTTCCTTACTGAAGCCATAGCCTCTTATGAGATTCTACTGCCCAGATACTGGAATAATATAACTGCATTACTCAGCCTAAACCTTGAGGTAACTTAACTTTCTACATCCCTTCTTCCACTTTATCACCCAATGACACTTCCAAGCACCTTCCACCAGCAACCTCCAATCTAAAATTGCTCTCGAAGTACTTACTTGTTCAAAGCAAAGTCTAAAATTTCAGCCGAGTGGCCTCTGTACTCGCTAATGAGCTTTCCCGAGCGGGCGTCCCAGAGCCTCACAGCACTGTCCAGACTGCAAGTGTAGACCACAGGTGAACTTTCCTCCCAAAGGAGCTGCACGATACCTGACTGCAAATGGGAGATGGAAAAGGCATTAGGAGCATTTCCATCCATCCTCTTGGCATGAATCCAGGAAAATTCATCATACTTTTTTTTTTTTTTGAGTGCCCACTCCTCAAGGGACCCTCACAGAAAATTTCCAGCTAGTCTCCAACCTTCCCTTTCTAGGGAAGGTGGTGGAGAGAATGGTTGGGCTTTACCTCCAGAAGACCCTGGACCCTTGTTTCAACTGAGTTTCAGGACAGTAGGGAGACACCACTAGTGATGGCTGGTAGTGACCTGTGATGGAGTTAGGATGGGGGCAGTGTGCGTTCATCCTAGCATTCCTTGATATCTCAGTGGCTTCCAGTACGTTGCCCGTAGTATCTTACAGGGCTTGCTTTGGGTGGATGTGGTCATCTGACTGAGTCAGCCTGAAGACAATTTGACACCTCATATCTAACCAACCAGCCAATGCTACTGAAATCCTGACTCAGTGCCTAGAAACCATGTGGACCTGGATGGCGACCAATGAATTTAAGCTCAATTCTGAAGGATTGACTGCCTTTGTCTGTCTGATCCCAATTCAGAGAACGTCCCATCTCTAGTCTTTAAAAGGGTTGCGCTTCTCAATGAGAAACCAGTGCACCTCAAAGAGAAGGTGACAGCTGTGCCCAAGAGGGCTTTTGCACAGGTTTATGTGATATACTAGTTGCACCCATCCTGACCAGCAGGCCTCTCAAGCAATCACTCTTGCTTTTGCCACCTCCGGGTTGGATCACTGTAATGCACACTATTTACACTGGGCTGCTCTTGAAGATTAATTTGGAGGTACAGCTGGTCCAGGAGCAGAGGTGTGGACAGTGATTGACAGGCCCTATTATGCTCATGTAATCTGCACTAGCTATCAATTGTCTTCTGGGTGAATTCAAGGTGTTGATTATTACCCATTAAGACCGTCATGGACACAGGACCTGACTAGTTAAGGGACCACCTTTCCCCATTTGTTTCTGTCCATCGATGAAGTTGGCTAAAGTGGCATGCTTTGGGTGCCATTGGTTAACCACTCTTACCTTGGGGGACCCAGGAAGTGTGCCTCCCCCATGATGGCTGCTGCCCTATGATAATCCCTCAGAGATTCATATTGCTCCCAATGTTTGAATTTATGCAAATGGTATGCAGAACCACTTCTGCTGGCACGCGAGAGGTCACCCAGAAGAGCCCCATTGCGCATGCATGTGCACCCCCCGCCAGCCAGCCGATTGTCGGGTATCTGCCACGCATGTGCGGGGGGAGACATGCAGGTGGGAGACGTGTGCGCATGCACAGAGGCATGCGGCAGGGGCGTGCGGGAGGGTTGCATGAGCATGCTCAGAGGCGCGCGCATGCACAGGGGGCGGGGGAGTCGCACACACATTGCATCATGGGTGCATGCACGCAAGCACACTTTTGGCAGGCAACGTGGAAAAGGTTTCCTCCTAAATCGCAGCATTTGTCAGATGCGCATTATCTTTTCTTTCAAAAAAGGAAGGAAGGCTTATCTAGTTCCTTCCTCCTGATCATTAACCTCAAATAACACCCAGAAAATTATGAGAAGCAGCCTGCAAACGGTAGTGTGCTTCTGTGCCAGAATGCCTCTGACTAGTACGTTCCTTTCGAGCGTGCCCCCCCTAGTGATCACAATGTGCTCCATTACCTCATGCTGGCACTTATGTCTCAGAGTCTGCGTGGCAAGGTCATAAATAGCCAAGGTCCCATCCAAATAGCCAATAGCTGCCAGTGGCATCCTGCAACAGGAAAGCCGTAGAGAAGGACTTTAACTGGAACTTGCTTTGTACAGTATTGTAGGAAAGATATAGGTTGTCCTTGACTTACATCCGACTGCCATTTCAGACCAGAATTTCCATCCCTAAGCAAGGTGATTGTTAAATGACCTTGCTTTTCCCATGAATAACTGTATCGCTGCAATTGTTAAATGAATCCAGCTTCCCCCATTGACTTTATTTATCAGAAGCCAGCTCGAAAGGTTTCTAGGCAACTGCGGGACGCTGCAACCATCGTAAATACATGCCAGTTGCCAACAGCCCCAATGTTGAGCCTGTGACTGTGGGGATGCTAATGAGGGTCGTACTTGTGAGGACTGCCCATAAATTCATTGGTTTCAGTGCTGTTTTAACTTTGAACGATTGCTAAACAAATGGCTGTTAAGTCAAGGGACTCCCTGTAATAAGATTAAATAAACGCTGGTCCAGAGTTGTAAATCAAAGACTACCTGTAATATAATTAAATAAATCATCAGGGCATTAGTCCTTCTTGCTTTGCTAAAGAGCTCCTGGGCTCATTCACACAAGGTGGTCGCTAAGAATTTATCTGGCTTTGGGGGGGGGGGGAAATCATTCAGTGATCATCAGAAAAACATATTATCTGGGTTGGTTCCCATCGTCTTTCCCCCCCTTCGTGGAAGCTTAGATGTATATTGTATGTTGTTGGCCTTCAGAAACATCAGCAGATGTGTACCAGGACAGAACTGGTTACAGGGCCATATAAGTCATTTCCCCACAATCTTCCCTTAATTTCTATCTGATTGATGATCAGAAGTGGGATTCTACTGGTTCGGGTGAACCGGATGTTAAATTTGCATCTGGTTCGCCCAACCGGTATTTGAACTGACCGGCTGGCCCTGTCCACCCCTTCCAGGAGTCTCCACACAGCCCATTTTTGATGCAGGTAAGGGCAACGTCCGTGTGGAAGCTCTTGGAGGGGGGAAAATGGACCTTCTGGAAGTACTGGGAGTCTGGAAATGGGCCTGTTTCTGGCTTCCAGAGGGCCTCCAGAGCCTGGGGAAGGCCGTTTTCATCCTCCCAGAGGCCCGATGGAAGCCTCCAGACTCTTGGGAGGGCAAAAAACGCCCCTCCCAGAAGTACTGAAAGTCTGGAAACTGGCCTTTTTCCGGCTTCCGGAGGGCCTCCAGAGCCCAGGGAAGGCAGTTTTCACCCTCCCAGAGGCCTGAGGGAAGCCTCCAGACTCTTGGGAGGGCAAAAAATGCCCCCCCCCCAAAGTTCCAGTAGGTCATGCCCACCATGACCATGCCCACCCAGCAACTGGACAGCGAACCAGTTGCTGGGATTTTTGAATCCCACCCGTTGATGATGGTTAGAAATGACTTGGCCAGGTTCCCTGGCTTGGTTCAAAACAACATACTAACCCTTAAGAGTGAAAATGGTTTTAAATAGTGGTGGGATTCAAATGTTTTTACTACCAGTTCTGTGGGCATGGCTTGGTGGGCGTGGCAGGGGAAGGATACTGTAAAATCTCTAGTCAGAGGTGGTATTTGCTGGTTCTCCAAACTACTCAACATTTCTGCTACCGGTTTCCCACAACTGGTCAGAACCTGCTGAATACCACCTCTGGTTTTAAAACATGTAGTTAATGCCAAGTACAAGCCAATCCACAATGAGGATTTCATGCCATGGTCACAGGCAATTATTCCTTCCTTTCCCTGAATGTGATCAGCTCCCACTGGTTTCTAAAAGCCAAAGATGAACTGAGTAATTATTTTCTGGAATCAGAAAGAAGTAAGATGCCAGAAAATATATATCTCCTTCATCTTTGTGGTCTGTATCCAGATCCGCTATCATGAAGATCTGAGAAGGAGACTAGAACCTCAGCCAAGTCGGAGAAGCAATATGCCTTTCTGAGCCAAATTGACTATTTATTTACTCTTACTCACTGTGTCTACCTCAAAAAGACAGCCATCTATACCAAACTCATATCCTTTCCCCTTGAGTACTTACACATTGCAGAAGCCCAGGGACTCCACTGAGTTGAATTCTGGCTCCTCCTCAGCTGCAGGCTTGCTCTCTGCCTTGAAAACGGACACCACCTGTAGGAAAGAGACAGCCAATAAGGCTTTTCTGTGCATTCAAGCAGCAGTCCATTATGACTGATACTTTACTGGAAGAACAGGCTAGAAATATGCTGCATGTAATAAAAGCAACAATCCTATCATCTTAACCAAGAATGCAAAACAAAAGTCTGGAAAACTACACACCAATCGTTACTGGGTATGAACAAATTCTGGCTGGACTTTATAGCTTACAAAATGGCTGTTATAATCAGGACTCCATTCTCAATCAGACACCTCTTATCACACACTATGACTCTGAAATGCAGCTTGAGACTATGGGGAAAAAAATTCATTTCATTTCTATCTCCAATTCCACATCCTAAATTTGGATCTGGAGATATAGAAACTGAAAACTAACTTCTACTCAGACATTAGTTTCAGGAGTGGTTTGCTACTGGCTGAGAGAGAGAGAGAGCGACTGGCACAAAAGCGTTGATTTCATGCTTAGAGCAGGACTAGAACTCCAGGTCTCCCAGTTTCTAGCCTGGTACCACTATACCAAACTGGCCCAAGAATTAGGCAGCCCAAGTTCAAATCCCCACTCGCCAAAGAAGTTTATTGGGTAATTCTGAAGTAGCATTTTCCTTCTTTCCAAATGAGTTCATCGAGCAATTGGGTAAATAATGGGGAAGAAAGTTAAAACCTTGAAGTAAATTTGAGACAAAAGTATAATTGTCAGCACAATAACCTCATCTAAATGAACCAAGCAGATATTTTATACATCTGGACAAGTAATAGGAAGGTGGAAGGAAGCACTCACCTTTCCAGTTGCAGAATTTATCAGCTTGGCATGGCAGTCAACAGAACCTGTCAGGATTAGACTGCCATCCTTCTGGCTTGCCACACACGTTAAAGGGCCCTGGTGCCCCTCATTACCTGGAAAGACAAAGAAGACACATCCAGTGAAAGAGCCTGGTTAAGGGTTCCCTTTCCCTTTTTTCAAGAGCTATCTTGGCTACCATCTTGATTCCAAAACTCCTATATCCCTGAACAGAAACACCATAATACCATGATAGTGATGCAAAGCTACTCGAAATGCTGATTTATTTAACTTTCTACAGTTACAGTTAAAAATCTGACTGTACAGTATCTCAGAGCTAAGTTTTGTTTGGAATCTCCAGCTTGCTGAACTATACAGAAATGGAAACCCGAGCTGGTTGCAAAATGAAATATATAACTGACTAGCCCTATCACTGATCTTTGGATCCTGTATTTCCTTGAGAACCTGTATCCTGTTTCCAGTATCCTTCAAAAGGAGGGGACATGGGTTTTTTTGTGAGGCTGACCCTACTTTGCAGGAAATCTAAAGCAACAGAAACAGGCAAAAGGCCAAAGTTTTTATGCAGAAGTGAGATGACCAGGATACAGGTATTATGCTCCAGTGAGCTGGAGGTTCAATGACATGACTTCTGAAGACTTCCTTCCATGTAATATTTGTTACCTTTCAGAACATGCAGTGAGTTGCCCTGCTTCAAGTCCCAGATGCGCACTGTTCCATCTTCATAGCCAACAACAGCCCTTCTCCCTGCATGAAGCATTTTTGTGTTAGTCGTTTTCTAGGAGACTTAGACAAATTTAATTTTAAAGAGGCCCAAGGACCTTCCGATCCCACCCCCAAATTCCAAACAACACAATCCTGTTTGTCAGGATTGTGAAAAGAAATAGAGGATGTGTTTGGAAGTGCCAAGCAATGGGGCAGTTCCATTCCTAACAGCAAAAACAATATTCCTCACCATCGGGAAGGACACAGCCACATGTAGCCGGACAATTTGGCCCTTGAAAGGTTTTGCATTCTCCACTAGGGATCTTCCACATCCAGCAGTTGCCATCAGCTGTGCCAGCCAGAAGGACAGGGGCCTGGGGGTGCCATTCTGTCCACTGGAAGAAAGCAAGCAAGCAAGCAACAGATTGGGAAATGAACAAAGCTGGAAAGCAAATGGCTGTTTGTCCAGTTGATCAACATGTTAATCTGTTTCATTTATGACCTGATTTATTTTAACTTCGAATACTTTACATTGGCTAGAGTCACACTTCATGCTAAACCATAAAAAAATATGCTTGGATTCATGTGGGCTAAGTCAAAGCAACACATATACATTATAGCGTAGTGCCAAGTATGAACTATCTCAATGTGAGAAATTATCAGCTAAAATGTAAGCATATCTCTAAAAAGTTTAACATCTGGGATTCAAATAGCATCTTAAAGAGCTACAGACTCCCTAAAGATCACCCAGGAAGTTCATAATCATACAAGTTATTCTAATGCATTTAGACTAAATAACACCTGGAAGATACTGTTTATTATGTATCTTCCAGATGTTATTATACATTTAGTAGAAACAGGCTTGAAATAGGTTTCTAAATTGCATGGAGAGCTTCACAGGATGGTGGAGGTGGTAGATGCAGAGGTAATATACTCATCCCTCCTTCCTTGCCTCACTGGTAGTGACAACTTTCTTCTGGAATAACTGATCTCATCCACTTCTGAAAAGGCCACATTTTAAACTTCCCAAAAAACACTCAAGGAAAGCAAACTTCTTCAATAAGGAGAAAACTGCACATAGCAGCAACTTCTTGAATACACACGCAATTTCAACCAAGAACATGATTTTAAGCACATCACTACATTATGGTCTTTCAAGTTCTCCAGTGTTTTCCCTTGATGCAAGGGGAGCTAATCAGGGTAGGCAGAAACAGCCTTTTTTAAAAAAAAAAATCTGGACCATGTTTGCCTTCCTACCCTGTTTGGGAGCTATAGAGAGCATAGCAGAGATGATCTCATTTCACAAGTGTAAGAGGGGACAAATTCTTGGGATGCTTAAAATATTATTTTCAGTTCTGGAGAGGTTTTAAGAGTGGACTTGGTATCTTAAAAACTGCAAAAGTTTAGGCATCTATTGTGTCCCCTAAGTATCTCCCTATGGGGAGGGGATGTTGGAGGATTCTAAAGGATGTTTTGGATGTCTTTAGGTGACTTACATTGAATTTGCTCCTTAAAGCCCCATCACCAGTGAAAAAGAGGATAAAATATACTCACTCTAGCAAATGAGGGGTCCTTGGTGCACTCTAATCTTGGCTGTTTTCTTGCAGACATTTTCATGAAACATCTACAAGAAAACAATCAAGCTCAGGGAGCATCAAAGACCCATCATCTCAACTTTGAGCTACAAATATTCTCCTTGGTACAACTCTAGCGTAACTATGTGGGTTACAAAAAAGTACTAGCAGTTCCTCATGTGGCCCATGAATTACCCACTCCTAAGGGTAATGCCACCATAGTTTATCACGTTTGCTTTGCTTTCCATTGGGAAAGTCAGTTGTCCTTTTCAGGCAAAGCTTTTGCCATGACACTCACAGGCTCACCTCCAAGTCACCCACTTCAAAAGACCAAATCTCTTCTTTGGCATCGACTCTCCAGACTTTAATGAATCCACCCATGTCACCCGTGACCACGAAAGTGGAGTCATAACTAAAACCAACACAAGTGACAGAATCTTTGTGACCTAGAGACAGTGGGAAGAAAATGATCATGTTTTGGAGCAAACAGATCTCAAGAGATATCAAATGGTGGAAGAGAGGTTTATATGGCAAACAACTGCAAAAGTGGGGTGAATCGAGACCCAATTTAAGCTTTCGCATTACTATTTCTTGTCCCACGATTCCAGAATGTCCAGCTGGTGTCTCCTTATTCCATCAATGACTATCATACTTTCTATGTTGGTTAAAAGTGCAAACCTATTACAATAATTTGGATGGCTTTAAAGGAGGATTAGATAAATTCAATGGGGACAGGTCTATCACATGCCATCAGTCTTGGGAGATTCAATACTACTTCTGGAGGGAAAGTAGGGGAACAATGGCTGAAATAGATGTTTCCTGCTTGTGATCACTGCAGAGACATCTGGTTGGCCATGAGAAACAAGTGCTGAATGAAGATGGGCTTTATGTTCTTTCCATGTTTTCAATAGGTGAAACCTATTTTACTGAATGGCATTTGCTCCTGTGCTAAACAGTACAAGACTGTAGCCAAAGTAGGACCAGGAAATATTTGACTGAAATTTTATTTTAACCTGTGTCAAAAATCTCTCTGGGAATTTTGGGCCTGTGCATCTTTACAGGTTATCCACCTGAAGCCTTAAACCAATTGCCTCCCTTCATCATACACACTTGAAAGTTCAAGCTAATAGCATGGAAAAAAAACTATTGTCCATAGTAAAATAAGGTAATACCACAAACTAGGTTACTTCAATTAAACAATGACATGTCTTAGAACCCTTCTCTGTAGCAGTGCCTGGAATGAGGTTCCCTCAGGATTTAGATGACCCCTGCTCTGATGTTGTTTATTTGCCCTCTTTTTGCTATGTGCTACTGTAATTTTTTTTGATTGCTGTGAACCACTCAGCTATAGTTGAGAATTGGGCAGCATACAAGTGCAACAAATAAGTAAATAATTTCACTAAGCCACAACATGGTTAGTTTTGGCTTCACAAGTTTTATGATGAAGCCATATAATAGTTTCATGAAATGTACAAATTCTAGCAGACTTAAAGCATTATATAAATATTAATGTTAATAAGTACATTACTCTTGATATCACCTTCCCTATTTCAGTCTAATAAACTACATAGTGTCTGTGTATATGCATACAAATGCGATAGGGCTACTACTATTCTATTACATAATTTTTCTAGAGTGTACACTTCAGATATGCAGAGTCATCATATCTTCAGGCTCAGACACCTGCTTGCCAGGATTTCTGGAAATTATATAAACAGTAACCCCACACATCTAGGAATACAGGTGGTCCTTAAATTACAACCACAATTGAGCCCAAAATGTATATTGCTAAGTGAAACATTAAAGTGAGTTTGCCCTCTTTTACATTTCCTGTTAAATGAACCATTCCATTTGTTAAGTTAGTAACATGTTTGTTAAGTGAATCTGTGCTTGTCATAAGACTACAAAAGCTGATCACATAACCCCAGGGCACTGCAATCATCATAAATATGAACTACTTGACAAGCATCTGAATTTTAATCCATGGGGATGCTGCAATGATGTTAAGTATAAAAACTGGTCATAAGTCACTTTTTTCAGTGCTGTTGTACTTTGAATGGTCACTAAATGAACTAGTCCTTGTATAGGACTACCTATACAAATCTGGGAAAACAGTCACAGTAAGGCACATCTAGGAATACAAAGCTGGGGAAACTGTGGCAATTCACCATTTCCACATGGTCTACTGTGGTCAGTGACATGAATGCTAAAAGCCAACATTAAAGTTAAATTTTAAAAATTAAAAATGAGGGTGGGGACTAATGAATCCATCTTAGAAATATGGTAGAGGGCTTCTGTTCTGATGTCTTGCCACTCACTCAAAAGGTACATAGTATCAAGAGAAATATCAAGAAATATGTTTACTCTACCTGTTGTTTTTGTAAGTGTGATAATATGCCACCTATTGGAAGCAATGTTGCCAGCCAATACCTGCAGGGATTACTGCTTTGGCAGGCCTCACCTGTACACTCAAAAAGGAGCTCGCCATCACTAACACGCCACACAAAGGCCTTGTCATCTTCACCACCTGTCACAGCAAGTGTGTTGGTTTTTGGGTCAAGACTGACACAGAAAACTGAAGCTGTGGAGAATTAACAGAACAATGGTAATAAATAAAAATCTCATAAACAGATGTAGTCAATGAATTCAGAACAATCAAATCAATGAAAGACAGATTGGGAAAGGACATGGTTCTCTCTCAGGAAATACTATCTTAAGACTTTAGCTTATTTGTTAAAAGCTAGAATTGGATTTGTCTTTGAAACTTAGCAAACTTATTATAGAAACCAGCTCTTCTGTTTGTTTCAAAAGCAACAAAGAAATTTGATGTAGTTCTTCAAGTTGTTAATCTTTTAAGAAATTTCACATTTTGTTGCTAAGGAATAGCTAGTCGTTTAAGACATATTTTATTTTTGGCTTAGAATAAAATTCACATTCCTGCTGCTTGATTTCAATGGCCAATATGGAGTTCCAGACCAAGCTAAATAGCCAGTGGCCTGATTCACACATTATAGCAAGTCATCCTATGATCTTAGTTTAGCTCTTGTGGTTTGTAACCTATAGATCATTATTGCCAGCAGCCTTGTGGAAAGTATGCTAAAGAAAGAAAAGCACCATAAATCCCTCTTCCCTGGCATAACAAATTGCTATTAACTAACAACTTTCCTATAAGAAAATCCTAGACGATTGTTTTTCCTTGAGTTTTGCAAGGTGTTTATTGGACTTTTATTTACAATTGTTTATATTCCTTGTATGCCAGGCTGAGGTTTTCCTTAAACTGTTGATGAAAGTAATTGTAACAGTGGGTCCATTAAAAGGTACTGATATGGGTAGGTGATAAACAAGTGATTCACACCAACCATAATTGTGTTACACTAATGCTGTTATCATCGTACTGCACATATGCATAACAAATCTTGGTATATATGCTGTACATGCCATCATCCTTGCAAAAATGACTGAAGAGACACCACAGAATGTGTCTGTGTGCATGCATTTGGCTGCCATAAATACTGGCAATGGAAAATATATAAGTATCCATCTTTTTGATTCATGGAGAGATTTTCACCCCTAACCTCTTGCTCAACTCCTGCCTTGGCAGTTCATAACCAATGAGCAGAATCCTCCTGAGCTTTTAGATGACATTTAATTTGGGACATTTAATCTGGGGAAAAGCCTTTCCTTTATCCCTTTAATAGCTTACCTGTATGCTTAGAGAATGTGACTTCACTGTCATCATGGGCCTCCATGCCTTCTTCCACCCCTTCATCTTCCTCCCAAGCAGCATCTTCGTCTAAATCCACATCTTCTATTTCATCAGCCAGATCATCTGCAGGGAGAGAAAGAAAAGATAGTTTTAAAATTACTCATCAGCCAACTTTTTCATTAGAGTGAAACAGATGTAGCAACTTTCTTTCTATTCTCTCATTAACCCGTTTGATCTCTCCAGGAACCCTTCTAAAGAATGAAAATAAAACAGGTTGTCTGCTTCCTTTTTTAAAAAAGCACATCACAAATAGAGAAAAAGCAGTTTGGAAATAGCCAAGCTCTATTTCCAAAATCCCTCCCACTCAAGATGACCTTTGCTTGACTAAGTACAAAGAACGTTAGACTGCAAGTTTCTTGTGAACTAATAGCGTTTAGACTTCTATACCGTTTCATGGTGCTTTACAGCCCTCTCTAAGCAGTTTACAGATCAGCATATTGCTGCCCAACAATCTGGGTCCTCCTTTTACCGACCTCAGAAGGATGGAAAGCTGAGTCAATCTATCTGGAAACTTCTGAAACACTACTTGTTTTGCTGCCTGCCTTTTAAAAGGAAGTATTTCTATAAGAATACAATTTAAACAGTGACAACTGTTTTAAGTGCCCTTAGTTTTCCTGACGTCCGGGACAGTTTTCCTACCCCCCCAATTTCTTACAAGGACAGCCCATATTCCAGGCTGGTGCCTTGTGTCAAACCCTTCAGGGTCCCTTTCCCGGTCGCCCCCTTTTTCCCTTACCCGGTCCGGGCGGCTCGAGATCCACCACTTCCACGATCTCCTCTGTATCCTCTTCCCCATCGCCGCCGGTCATGAGCAACAGCGCTTCGGACGCCGGCTCTACCTCTTCCCCTTCTCCGGGCTCCGCCATGCTGACTCCAACCCCCACCGTCAGCGGACACGCGACTCCTGCTAAGAACTCTCTCTCTCTCTCTCTCTCTCTTCCTTGTTCCCCGCCCCCTGTGGCGGGGGAGGAGCCAGAATCCCAGGTGCCAATTTCACGAAGGAACGAAAAAACGGGGGAGGGCGGGAACACCAACTAGCCAATAGGAGCTGCCAACACGCTTTCCCTCATTGGCTACTTTCACATTCTAAAAACGTAGCGTCGGTGTAATCCTCCCACCCCTCGGTCTTTCACCGCCCTTCGTTCACCAAGGAGGCGAAGGGCGTCATGGGAGTTGTAGTCCCAGGTTCCTCCTCCCTGTTCGTTTGCTACCCGGCAGGCAGTAGGGGGGGAGGTGCTTGTCAAGATGGCATCGCTTTGCTTTCGGAAGTTCGGTAGGAAAGGCGCGACCTCTGGGCGTCCGTATGGCGGAAAGAAGGGAGGTTGGCTCGGGCCAGCTGAGGGAAAGGTTGCATTGTTTCTTGAGAGGGGAGAGTGATCTGGAACAGACTCTGCAAATTTGACCCGAACCACATGTATTAATATAGGCTATAGAGGAGCTGATAGATTCCTGAGAAGCCTGGTTGTTATTTTTCCGTTCTTTCCTCCCTTTTGATATCCCAGAGAATCGGAACAGAATCAGTCGACGTTTCTTCCTCTTAACTTTCCCTGTTTCTCAGTCTCAAAGCATGTTTCTGCACGTGTTGTAAAATCTCAAGAATAGTTTCTCCAAGGTCATCTCCAGGGCTCTCTGCACCTGAAAGAGAGACCTTGCTTACTAATTTTTATTGCTTTTCAGAAGGACGATCGTAGGCTGTGCTCATATTTTCTATCCTGGAGGTAGAGTAGCTAAGAGAGAGAATGATTTGTTCAAATAATGTGGCAGCTTTGGCTTTCTGTATTTTATATGTGTGAAGGAGAGTGAGATGCCAGATACTGAGATTTGGAAAGCTGGGATTATGGCTAAGAGATTGTCATGTGCATCCAGCCCATTTGAGTTTATCATGGGTTTAAGCAAGCCATGACTTAAAGCCTGGGAGTACAACCTTTTGAGTGGCATGGGCTGTGAAAGGAATTGTCTTGGGCCGCATATAAAATCCATAATCAAGTTGATGTATATAAATAAACTTTTTAATATATATTTACTATCTTGGGGGGGTCACATTACTAGCTATCCAGGCCACAAGTTGCACATGGCTGATTTAGAGAGTGGTATGATAGGTATTCTGCAGCCATTGTTTAACACTTGGTACCGTAATGTGCCACTAAAGGTAAAGGTTCCCCTTGCGCATACGTACTAGTCGTTTCTGGCCCTAGGGGATGGTGCTCCCTTCCGTTACAAAGCGAAAGAGCTAGCACTGTCAGAAGACGTCTCTGTGGTCGTGTGGCCGGTATGACTAAACGCCAAAGGCGCACAGAACGCAGTTACCTTCCCACCAAAGTGGTCCGTATTTTTCTAATTGCATTTTTACATGCTTTTGAACTGCTAGGTTGACAGAAGCTGGGACAAATAACAGGAGCTCACTCCGTTACACAGTGCTAAGGATTCAAACTGCCAACCTTTCTGATCGACAAGCTCAGTGTCTTAGCCATTGAGCCATTGCACCCCTATGCCATTACAGTGGTCCAATTATGACCATATGCTATAATTGTGAAATTCTTGGTGTCTCTAAGGTTGGTTGACTTACAGAAACCACATTTACACACCATTCAAAACAGACAGCAAAAAGCTGAGGAAGGATAAACAAAAAGACTAGAACACATCTCCTTCAGCAGCCCACATTCAGAGAAGCAGGGATTAGCACCAGACAATCAGGCAGAAGACAATACACCAGTCAGGGAATCAACTAGGAGGGAAGTGCATCTTATGAAAACCATCAAGGCAAGCTATTGCATTCAATATAAACTGGCAGCAAGCCCCACCCCCTCTCATTTGCACTGATATTACTTAGTTGATTAATGAAATGTCTTCCACCCTCAAGCAACCAATCTCACAGCATATCAGGAACTCCACAGTTCAGTCTCAAGCTGAAAACTTCCATTTCTATTGGAACATCCTACATGTAAAATATATGATTATGGCGAGACGTTTTTCTTTATGGGCTGTCAGGGAAAATAAGTAGGTGAGCAAGAAAGGCTTTTGAGCTACCCATCATTAGTATGAAAAGAACAGCAATAGCATTTAGTCTTATATACTGCCCCCACAGCACTTTACAGCACTCTGGGCGATTTACAATGTAGAAACATTATTTGCCTATTGTCCCCAACAATCTGGGTCTTAGTTTTACCAACCTTAGAAGGGTGGAAGGCTGAATCCACCTTGAGCCCTGTCAGGATTGAACTTCAGGCTGGGGACAGAATTTGTCCAGATTACTACACTTCAACCATTGTACATACCAGGTTTAGTGTGGTTTTCCACATCTTGGCTTTTTTTTCTTCCTTTACAGGCTTCCTTCCCGCCACATTGAAACAGTCACCATGCATAACGCCTTTGCAAACGAACACTCAGTCTTTTCACAGTAGCCGAAGGTGTTTAGAAGAAATGGAGAAGAAAGCACAGCCTGTTGAACAAACATATAGACATATAGAATATATGGCCCCAAGAAGGTTCAAGACCTCTCCAAACCCAGTTGCTATTGCTTGGTGAGCATTGCTTTTATCATTCTGTGATCCAAAGGTAGACATCCCATGGTTTCCTTCTGAGGTTGTGTGGGCAGAATTCAATGACAAAATGACTGATTTGTAGTGGCTTACTTTTAGCATTTTTTTAATGAGGTAAGGAAGCAAATCCCTATAATTCTCACCCTTTAAATTTCCTGCAATGGCCCAACTTTTGTTCATCAAAATTTTGCCATTTTGCCACTGAAGAAACAGTATTAAAATCTTGGAGAATTCTAACAGTGGAAATTTGTTCTTTGGGAGCTTCCTAGAAATGGAAACAGCTTTCTTTTCCCATTCCTACTCTGAAATCTTTTCTCCACTTAAAAAAAAGAAAGATTATAAAATTTGATTCAATCCTACTCCTTAGTAAAAAGAATTCTTTGTATCTTTTCCTTTTGGAAACCAAGGATGGTAAGTATGTTTATCTTCAGAATCAATCTATGTGATAACAACTGGCCAAAAATTGCCCAGCAGAGGTCTGTATTGAACTGTGGCCTAGAACCTACATTTTCCTTAGTGTTCCTCCATGTACTTTTATATTTTGTATTTTATAATACTTAATAATTTAATTTAAAATGTTTGTTAAAAAAAACCTACATCTTCTCACTCCAAAATTTTATTCCTTATATTTCTCACCAATTCCTTATCTTGTATTGAATAAATAGAAAACTAATTACATTTCCATCTTTTTTCTTAGTGCAAGGGGAGGAATTAGTTGTCTCTTTGGAGTCCCTTGTCTTTTCCAACCTAAATCCCAGGTGATTTTACTTTATTTTAATTTCCTTAGGGTCATTGGTTTGCCCTCTGCATTTGCCCTTTTCTTCCTTGCTAAGAGACAAGTGGAAAAGAAACGTGTGAAACAGATGAAAGCTCGCCGACAGATGATGGCAGCCAATAAAGAAGATAGTTTGACACAAAAAACAGGAAAGCACGTAGACACCAAGTCCAGTTGAACTGTATACTTCAATCATTAAGTTACTGCTTTCAGATTCTCAAATTTTAATATTTAATTGGAGCATGGCGCTGTGCTGCAGAGCATTTGTGATTTCTCAATCTGCATTTCTATGAATCAAAGTTATCAATAAATTACCATCAAGATTACCACAATAATCCTCAACATTAGAAGTATCTCAAGCAAGAAGTAGTGGCCTGCTTTAAGTGTATTATGGTTTTCTTGCATCAAAGGGATTTCTTGCTAAATGTGGATAACTGAAGATGAAATTGCAGGAGTTATATAATGTGGGTCACAAGAACTCAACAAAGCCATTTGTACTTTATTTTTTCTACTTAGTGAGCAACATTTTCTGAATAATTGTTCTTTCAGTTACATTTCACATTGTGGCTAGCAAATGAAACCAGATCATACTACTCTACCAAAATTTATGTGAAATATTGAGCTCATTAAATATTTGAAAACTTTAAAGTGCAGGTTAGTTTATTACAGATACTTAAGAAGAATCCAAGCAAACTTGTAATTTTGAGTGATTGGCAAGCTAATTGATTCCATTCCAATAGTTAGGTAAGCTAAACACTCAGATTTTACATGCATGTTTTAGCCTAGTCTTAGGATCCTAAAAATTGTGATTAAAATTATAGGGTCTTTTTTAATGCATCAAATTGAACAGTACATTGTTAGAAAAAAAATACGTTTGCAGTAATTGCTGACAAATCGTTACTGCTGTTTTTACATCTTATTAAACTTTCTGCTTTCTACAGTTTTATGTTCATTTATTTCATCATAATGCAACATTGGCCCAACTGAACTCTGTTTCCAATTCGTAGTATAATGGTAACACTATGACACAAGACAAAAGGAACAGACGTCACTTTAGTCAGTTCCATAAACCATTCATTGCTTAGATACTACACAAGGAAAACAATTGACTGCAAATGAGACCACTAAGGCTTCTTTTTCAAAATCTTTGAAAGATTTATTCTCCACTTGTTCTTCCTGTTGCAAATTTTCTTTGCCTACTTTCACCCAAATGGTTATAATGGGAAATAATTTATATGACACAGATAAGTGTTTAAGGGTGAATTTTAATTAGTCTGGGAACTGTTGTTTGCCCTCATGCCTGTTTTGTCTTGACCACTGCTGTGTGGAAATGATAAATAAGCAGATTTTAAAAGGGCTATCAACTGATCTAGAAATCCAGAAATAGATCTGTTTTGAACATTATGGTCCAGATCCTGCTTTCTCTGAACCTGCAGGAGTATAATTATAGGAAATAAGTTTTATGGAAATATCCAAAAACTTCCCATTATTCGAACATGGATTTTATTATCATTAATAGGTTATATGTCTCCCCACCACCAACACAAATACTCTTTAAATTCATGTTTTTCATTTAAAATCTATTTTCTTAGTTGAATACTTGTTATATAAAAGCAATCTGAGCACCTCC